AAGAGCTACTTAATCAACAAGCTGTATTTTGCACATAGTACACAAGATAGATATCTGAACTCCTGGGATAATTTTAGCTACTGAGACGAAATTACTAAATCTGGTATTTTTCCCCTTTGCAATAAAAAGCAGTCATCAATGTGAAAAACTGTGACCTTCACAGAAAAAATAAATAAGGCACGAAGAAAACAACTTAAGACACCGCCTTGAAGATTTTCGCTCCTTTACACATCGGTTCTGCACAAACAACAAGACACCAACCCCAGAGGGCTCGGATCAAGGACCTCAGCAAAGCAAACGTGAAAGGAGTGCCCCATCAGGTGGAAGGCTCCGCAATGGAGCCTGTGCCACTCTTACCTTGGGGAACCAAGCCTTCTTGTCCAGGTCCCATTCGTAGGGGGTGTCAGCAGCCTGCTGCCCGAAAGACTCGGTTTCCTCACTGGGATCATTCTCGGTATCACTGTCTTTGGTGTCTCCGTACAATTCTTGCATTCGCAACTGCTCGTCAAACTCGTCGTTCTTATTTAAGTTGCTGCCGCTCATGTTTCCCACCTAGCAGGGCTCAGACGCGCAGAGGCCGAGGTGACGCTGAAGGGGAGCAGAGAAAGGGAGGTCAGCCGAGCTCTGCTCGCGCCCTGCCGCCCCCCGCCCGGCCCGACTCCCCGCGGGGCTGCAGCAGTCCCAGGGAAGTCGCAGCTGCACCGCCTCGCACCGCCCCGAGCTCCGCCCGTCCGCGGGCCGCACGCGCCCGCCTCAGCCGCGCCGCCGCCCACCTGACTCGCTCCGCCGGGCTTCCGCGCCGCCGCTCGGTTCAGGGCGCAGCGGGAGCGCGCACGCGCGCAGCCGCCGACGACGACCCGGTCTGAGGTGTCTGAGGCGACTGTGGCTCCCGCCGGAACGTCAGTAAAAGATTTGAAAACGAAGCCTCGCTCAGGCTTACGCAGTCACCATTGTCGGCGCGTCGCGACGTCGCGGATCGCGTCGCCACGCCCACAAATGGCGTCAAAAGGCGCCGACGCAGACCTGCGGCCTCGAGGCCCGAGGGCGGGGCGCTAGGGGGCGCGCTGCTGCCGAGCGTCCACGCCCACCGATGCCCGCGTCGTGACAGGTCGCGGCCCACGGGCACCCGTTACATCCCAGGGTCTTGGGCTTGGTCGGGTCCCAGATAGAGGAGGCTGGGTTTGGCCCTGGCGGTGGCCCTAAGGAAGGCGTGGGAATATTACCATGCAGCGGGCGCCGGACGTGTGTCGCGGCGGCTGCCATTTTGGGAAAGTGGGTAGGGCGGGCAGGAACAGTTTCCCTGCTGGGAGAAAACGACGCACCTCCTCCGCCCGAAGGCCCCTCCCCTGCGCGGAGACCGGGTCTTTTACTTACTTTGAAATGATTATCCTAGGCTAGACACCTGCTCTCGTTCATTTTGGTAGCCTAAGCACCTGGCACGGGGTCTGGTGTCTAGTGCGGGGCGAATGAATGAATTGAACTAATGATCTCACCTCCCTCCTTTATCGATCTGGTACCTTCCTCAGGCTGGAGTTCGATTGTGTGGAAGGGAGGTAGGGGCAGCCATTGCCTGGCATTGTATCTCAGGATTCGCAGGGGCTCTGGCCTCAGACTTGAGGCTTACATGCAAACATACCAGTGTAAACACCAGCGTTAGTGTATAACTGACTCCATTTCTTTGTCTTTTAGAAAGACACAGCATGCTTCTCTAAACAGATTCTCCAACCCCAGAAATTGCACCCTGCTAAAAGTGAAGAGGTCCGCATTTTTGATTCGGCGGATATTTACTGAGCCCCTACTAAGCGCCAGGCACTGTATGAGGATCTGGTGACAGGCGTCAGCGAGACAGACACAGCCCGGGGGAACAGGATGGTTGGCAAATGATATGATAGGAAAAGTGCGGTATGCTGGAGAGGAGTGGTACTCAAACTTTTTGGTCTCAGCACCCCTTTACACTCAAAAACTTGACCCTAAAGAGCTTTTTTTGTATGTGTATTATATTTATTGGTATTTGTTGCTCTAATATAAATGTTGCCATTTAAAATATTCATTAAAAATAACAAACTATTACAGTATGTGAAAACATTAATATCATAACCCAGACTTGAGAGTGGGAAAAGCTCCCCAGAAATTATTTCTGTTTAGCTGGGTGTAGTGGTACACATCCGTAATCTCAGCACTCAGGAGGCTGAAGCAGGAGGATCACTTCGAGTTCGAGGCTGGCCTGGGCTACATAGCGAGACACTGTCTCAAAGAAAAAAAAAAAGAAAAGAAATTGTATTCCAGTAACCTTTGCATACAAACAGTGGTGAAGTTCAGGTTCTAGAAAATCCAGGCTCCCAACATACCATCTGCGTGAATTAGTTTTCGAGTGTAACAATGGTTTTTAAATAAATAGTAGTTGGGGCTTGTTTTTGTTTTCAATTACATTTTTTTCATAAAGTTCTTGTTTTGGTAGGGACTGTTGGAAAACTGAATTTGCATGCATTCTTATAACAGGAGATTTGTTAGGCTCATTTAAACATTGTTAAATGTTTCTTCCTGAATCCAAAAATTATAGACAGCTGTTTCAGCAACATGTTGCTGGCCTCCCAATTCATTTCTGAGTGAGTTGATAGCATAGGTGATAATACATACCTCATCCTACAGCACATGAAGATCTGACTGCCTGCTCTACCACAGCCCCCTTCCAAGCAGGTGACCAAAGAGCTTTCTTATGCCTAGGTCCCATGTCACCCAGCCACTCAAAGGCTGCCTGGAAGCCTGTGGAGTGACCTGTCACAGTAATGTTACTTTAATGGATTTGACTAAGGTCCAATAAGAGCCTCTCCTGGGATGTTAGAGCGTGAAACAGATGTGCATGGCCAGAGTAGAACAGGGCAGGGGGACACACATAGGGAAGATAAAAGGCAGGACAGGGACGGCCTACTATGGAGAAGGCCCAGAGGCAAAAGGAGCAACCAAAGCGATATCAAGAGGGCCACGAGTCACCATAGTAATGGAGCAGTGGCATCGGGAGCCAGGCATACTTGTTGTACCTGCCATGCCATTTTTTGTCTGAGACACCTGAAAGTTGCATTTTGATAATGCTTTGCTGTATGAAGCCTGGTCTCTGTTTGTATTAGTAAAATAACTCCCTAGTAACTGGGATGATCTCTTGGTAATTCCTAGTAACTGGAAGCATCTCTGTCTTTGTAAGCTATGTTTTCAAGATTGTGTGCAATGTACAAAAACATTCAAGGTAGCAAAAAGGGAGACTAGCGGTGGTGGTGAACCTATGGCACACGTGCTACAGCAGGCTTCTTGTTATCACTGAAAGCTCTAAAAGGTTCGCCATAGCTGCTGTAGAGGCAGGGGAGGGTTCCTGAAACCCCTAGGACACATTGTAGATGGGCTGCATGAGAGATTACTGGTCCTAGGCAGAGGAGCCAATGGAAGTCCAATCAGCCAACTTCACTCTGAAGAGCTGCTTCATTCTTCTCTATTTGACTCGGTGAGGGGTCATCTGGGTTGTAATCCTGGTCTAACAGGCCCTGGCTTTCTTGGTGGATAAAATATATTAACCTACCGAAGCAGAGACTGCTGGGCTGAAGAAGTCACCTATCTGCCCAAGAAAGTCTTTCTGAGGTATTACGGAACTATATCAAATTCGATTTTTTGTTTTTTGGGTTTTTTTTTTGGTACCAGGGATCGAACTCGGGACCTTGTGCTTGTGAGGCAGGTGGCAGAACCACTGAGCTAAATCTCTGGCCCCTCAAATTCGATTTTTAAATAGCCTCTTCAAGCCAATTCTTTACAAGAATATTCTTGTCTCCACATCCTGTCATCTGAAGATTTCGTAGAAATAAATGCAACTCCTGACAAAAAGACTGATGGTTGGGTGCTGTGACGCATGCCTGTAATTCCCAGCTACTGGGAAGGCTGAGGCAGGAAGCTCACAAATTTTCACCCAGCCCTGGCAACTTAGCGAGAGGAGATTGTCTCACAGTAAAACTTTAAAAGGGGTGGGCTAGGGATTTAGCCGCCTGCCTTGCAAGTGCAAGGTCCCAAGTTCGATCCCTGGTACCAGAAAAAAAATTTTTAAAAGGGGTGGGGAGGTACCTCAGTGTCAGAGCAGTTGCCTAGCATGAGCAAGGACCTGGGTTTGATCCCCAGCACTGAAAACAAACAAAAAACAAAAAAAGGTCACAAACCAAAATCTGACAAGATCCTTCACCTAAGATGGTTAAAATTGCAGAAATTCTTTAAAACCAAATTTGCTATTCACAACAGGCATGCCAGTGTTAACTTCCCTCACTTTTCAATGTCAGTGGTGGAGACTCTCCTGCTGGCTATGTTTTGGGCTATAGCTAACTTTGTGACTCTGTTTTATAGTGTACTATTATGGTCTGTATCCAAAATCCTGGGCATGGGAAGACCCTGAGCAAAATTGAGACTTATGAACAATTTATTTCATCTCCTATATTCACCACTATACCCCTGTAGGAAATCTCCTGTAGAAAGCTCCCATTTCTGGTACCACAATAAGCAGTATGCAAGAGATTGTGGCCTACTGATAAGATTAGTCCTGACAAGGATAATCTGTTAAAAGAGAGACACCCCCTCCAAAATAGTCAAAACACAGCCGCAAATTTTAACCCCAGTTCTCTAGGTGTGGATGGACGCAGGCTGGAGCCCTATGAAACCGTTTTGGGATTCTTTTTATATCAGGTCCCTACGTCTCTTAGGGATTATTAACTGCTAATGAGCCTTCTTAGTTTTTGTAACCTGGGATTTTAACAAGTTATTTCTAAAATGTTATGCTTAGGAGAGTAAAGATATAACACTTACTCAGAGTAAGGAAAATGGTAAAAATATTTTAGAGTTCCGTGACTTGAAAATAGCTTAAGTTTTGGCATTAAAATGGATTCTTAGTTATAACTGCCAGAAATGTTGATTTTAGAAAATAAGGTTACACAGAGGCACTTGAAACTTTATTTCATGTTTATTTGTTTTCTCCCACTTATTACAATGCCTACTTTAAAACAACATTAATACAATCCCAGCACCCCACTTTAAGTAAACCAATTTTACAGATTTAAAGTCTAGTGTTAATATTATATACCCCCCTTTGAGCCACATCATTAACAAAAGTTCACAACCACACAAGCCATTTAAAGAAAGCTCACAACTGTCAAAGCACATTCACATACCAAGTTTCTAAAAATACAAATTTGACTATCTATAGTGCCAGACATAAGCTTTGATTTGCTCCAAGAATATGTTTTCTGAAACCACAAGTCTAAATCTGACAAGTCTATTGACACAGTTTTTAATATGACAGTTATTAACAAGCTTATTGGGTTAGCAATATGAGCAGAGGACAGAAAATCAGAGCCTTCCATCTGATTTCCAGGGACAGAGGTTAGTTAGGTCACACTCATACAGGACTTAGGCGCCCATCATATTTACTAAAGTCAAGCAGGAAGATGAGCTGATGACGATTGCACACCTAGGTGGTAAGGATTTCATGTGGCACTTCTGCAGGTTTTCAGAAAGAGGGCACTACTTAACCAAAAGAAATGACTTTCCTTAAAGAACGAATCTCAGACGCTGGCAGGTACAGATTTTCCCACAGGGGCCCTGTGGGGCCCTCAATGACACCATAAATGTGGCCACTTATTCTGCCTGTGGGTAAGGCGGTTCTCAACAATATCTGTGCAAAGTAGCTCTGCCCAGTTCTTAATCAATGCAGTTCTAGGCAGAACTACATGAAGTCGGGAAGTGTTGACCCAGTGAGGCAATCACCCTGCCCCAGATCCTTATTCAATACTTGATCCTCACCGGCTCCCAAACATTTTGATTTAAACTGCAGATTTAGTTATAATGGAATAGAGATTAACGGGAAAGGGCAGTCACTTATTCTTTAAGAGAACTGTGTAAGAGATGTTTTATCTTTTTGATCTCCTTTTCCTATACAAAGTATAATCCCTAGATTCACACCACATAAGAAACACAAACACACTCCAATGACAAAGGAGTCTATGAGCAGTTAGAAGCATGAGAGATGTGATGGAAATAAATTAGATTTTTATGTTTCATCTTGTTTATTTCTTTCCTCCTCTTCAGTCTCCCTTAGAGCTCACTGGCATATACAAACATGTCTTCCTATACTTCGGGGGCTTCAATTTAGTTAGAAAGCCCCATAGCATCACTGTACTTTGAAGGAAATCATGGTTCATCTGTTACTTATATGGATCCTTAGCTCCTAAGACTTTGACACAGTCCACAAACAAGAAAACAACAACCACACACCTGTGCACAGTTTAGAGCTAGATACACACACTGGGAGGAAAAACACCGTTTTTAATGGGAAAGCTAGACGCTGTCCTCTTCGTTCTTCACAGCACACTCAGTGATCAAGGCCACACTAATCTCAGAGATGTGTGCACTCCCAGTGCCGGGGACCCTTCCCACCACAGCCAGGTTGTTAAGAGGGGTTGCAGCAAGAGGAGGCTCGGGCCGCTTTCCCTTGCAGCAGAACAGCTGAGCTTTAAAATGCTCCTGGAAGGTTTTGCTCAGCCAGTAGAGTGCAAAGGGATTTACGCAAGAATTACTGAAAGCCAGAATCCGAGAGAAAATGGTGACAATGAAATGTACAGAAGAGGGGTCTGCATGGGTTTCAGAAGTGAATGAGTGGTGGAGATACAGGAGGTGATTCGGCAACCAGCAGAGAGCAAACAGAGCCACCAGCACCAACACCGTTTTGGCAATTCTTTTCCGGGATTCAATCTACAGGAGGGAAGAAAACGACACACACACAAATCATTTCATTGGCAGAGATTTGTCAAAGCCATTCTCCAGATCTCCACAGAAATTTACAGCTGACAGCTTGGTCTCCCTTGGAGCGTGTGCTTGTCAGCTATCGGCTGGGACGAGCAGAAGTCAGCCTGTGGCTACACAACACAGCCAATTAATTGGCATGGTAACCCATGATCTTGGTCTGATTAACTCTAATTCCAAGACCTCCTACCACCCCCTGGATTTGTCATATGCTAGGATGTCTCCAACTCCAGGAATGGTGTGAAATTCCCAGCAACTTAATTTAATTCAAAAGAGAGACGCTGTACAAACTGCTTTCACTGCATCCACAGAGGCTGACTAGGGGAGAATAGCTATCTGGGGATTATGAAAGTTGTCAAGTTGGTATTAGAAATTGTTTTAAGGTCTGGGGGTGTAGCTCAGTGATAAAGCACTTGCCTAGAGTGTGCAAGCCTTGGGTTCAATCCCTAGCACTGCAAAAAATTGCTTATGAACTATAAGAATTCTAACCACATATCAAAGGAATACAAAGCAAATATGCTGTCTTTCATACATAAGAATAATCCTGCCCATATCTGGCACTAAAGAAAAAAAGAACCAGGTTAAGTGAAGATAAAGCCTGTGGTCTCAGACAGAACAAAGATGACAACTTTAACTTCCTATGTGCCACTGTGGCATTAACTGAATGGAATAGCTCTGCAGAAAGGCACAGCTCTCTGTCCTGAGCAGGGGTGAAACGGAATACCCTCTCGCTTTGTCCCTCTGAATCTGTTTTAGCAACACTCCCTTTATTCCAATTATTCTCCTGTCATAGGCAATCCACCCCCCTCAGTTTGCCCGCCCGTGTGCAAGTGGGTTGCACTAAATAATATTATAGTTCTTGCTAGCTCTACCATCCTGTGCATTTCTATTATTATGTTATATTTTCTGAAATAAAAGATGTTTTGCTTTATAGTCTCACCTTATGCAATGTTCCTTACTATTCCACAAGATAAATAATTTTTACTGCTCCCAAACCTCGGGCATCCCCTCTTTAATAACAGTAGTCCCACCATTTATGGAATGCTTACTCTGCTCCAGAAACCGTGCAGCACATTATCTGTATCATCTAGTCCTCATCTTCATTTTATAGATAAGGAAACTGAGGCTCAGAGAGGTTACATAACTTGCTCAAGATTGCTCAGCTAGTATATGTGGCATTAAAACCAGAGCCCATGGTGTTAACAAAAATTCTACACTGATATTGTATTTATACACAGATAAATACATAGTCACTCACTATGCAAAAGTAGGAATTTCAGTTCTAAAGTCTAACTGTATTTGTATGAGTATCAATTAATACATACCTGCTTGCGGGCGTGGCTTTGTTCCTCAGTCGGTATGTTCAATGTGCTTTTGTAAAGAGTCCTAGCAATCAAAGAGTAATAGACAGAAATAATCGAGAGTGGAATAATGTAGAACACTAAGAAGCTCAGCAGAGAATGTATTTCCTGCAAGAGCTTCTCAGAGATGGGATAAGAGGCACACAATTCAAATGTCCTATTTTTGTTGGAATCTCGTAAAGTGTATACATTTGAAAATACAGCCTCTGGCAGAGCAAATATCATGGACACGATCCAGACGCAGCCAGCTTTTGCATAGGTCTTCAGGATGGCATTGGAGGGCTGTCGCTCAAGTGGCTTCACAACTGCTTTATATCTGGAAGCACACAATCAAAAGCAAAGGTCAAAATACACACCAAAATTGTCACCCAGTTCTACCTCCTACCACATGTGTTTAATCCAATCAACATTAACCAGCTAGAATAGGTTAGGGTTTTAAAGGCACATAATACACCCCAAGGCTTTTTGTTTATCTTAATTGGCTTTTTCTTTATTCACTCCTATGAGATATTGGAGATTTTCAATTTTATAATTTAATGTACACATCCTCTGTTTAGGCATAATTTTTTCAGCACAATTTCATGTGTGATTGAGAGTAATTTGCCACTTCTATGTTACTTTAGGTGTTCGAAAAGTCTCTTTTTGTATAAGTCACTCACGCTAAACGGAATTAACTCTCCTTTCCTCATGAGTGAGCAGCCTTCGATCTTCCTAGAAAAGAATTCCAGGGTTTCGCAGCAGTGAACAGGAGAGGGTTAATTTCTTCCCCGTTCACAAGTGCTACTTTGCTGCCCAAGCTGATTGATCTGTGAGATTTCGGGCAAGGCAAAGATAAAATCGTAGCTCCATACCCCTGCAAAGATGCCTCGGCATCGGACAAATCCCCCTTCAAGCCTACAGCCTTTACAAAAGTCTGCCCCGTCAAAGCAAAAATTCAAAAAAGACACAGGGAAACCCTTCTCTCCACTCAGATTCTACAGTCTGAATAAGCTGTTCCTTCTAACACTGCCAGGCATTGATTACTTACAGGCTTTTAAAAGCATCATTTTCAACATTTGGAGCCTCAATTTTTTTTCATGCTTTCACAGTTAGGAACACAAAAATACACAGTACTTAGATTGAAAATATCCTAACAGTCCAAACACCCTGATGGCAAGAGGTTTTTTACACGCCCTAGCCATAGAACTTTAAAAGTCAATCAGGATTAATTTATCTCTCCGGAAACGATAGTGACACTGAACGCCTATAGAGAAAACAAATGGAATTAAGTGATGACATTACACCGAGTTACCAGGGAGCTGAAAACCTCACCGTTTTGCTGCCATTAGCTAATTTGATGAATTTCAAATAGATTAGATGCATGTTATCTCTTTACCATCCTTCTGGTATACGATAATGCAAATGTGGTTAATTTCACACCTATGCCAATGTTTTCATGTTGACAATATTGTGCCACTAGGCTGCACTAATGTATAAAGCATGGATTTTTTTTTCTTTTACACCTGCAACAATTTGCTTTACTTAATAAGCTGGAGGGAAAATAAAAACCCCGTTTGGTACCCTTTCAAGCAAACAATTACACTTGAATGAAAAGACATTTTCCCCTAAAGCATATATTTTCAACCTCTCCTTAAATGCTAATGCAGAAATTTCAACGTTTTTACACTAACTTTGAATTAAAATGCCACCGGATTTCCAATCTTACATCCCCGTTTCACAGTGTGAGAAAAGCAGAATAGTAGCCAGGAAATGCTAAGTACAAGCTTTCCTTTCTTTTTTCCTAATTTCACATCCTAGGAAATATAAAAGAAAAAAGACTCACCTGTCAGCACTGAGAATCGTTAGCGTGAACACAGACACTCCAACAGAAGTGAGCCGGATGAAAGAGAGCACCTTACAACCGATTCTCCCGAACAGCCATCCCTCTGCAAGGTAGTGGGTTGCATCCACCGGCACACAAGTCAGCAGAAGTAAAAGATCTCCAAAAGCCAGGCTAGTGATGAAAATATTTGGAACAGTTTGCATGGATTTTGTCTTGAAAAAGACTTTGATGAGAATAGCATTTCCGAGGATGCCCACTGAAATGATCACAGCATAAGTGATGTAGATGGCACACAGTGCTTCTATTCCTGGAGAGTTGTCTCCGGTCCACCCTTTATTTGTGGTATCATTGGAAATGACAGAGCTTGATGATTCTGTGTCATTTGTAATTGAAGTCTGATTAGGTGATTGAGGCTGCCTTTGAGACATTCTCCTGGAGAATGTGTCTTCAGTATTTTCTTCTGTTCAAATGTGGCTGATTGTCACGTCTAATGCCTACGTCTAGTAGTGGGGTGGTGTTAGGAGAGGAGAGCAGCACAGACTGCAAAGAAAATCTAAGACATCCACATGCTCCTGTGCTTCAGTTGCTCTGTGTCTCCCAGCATGCTTGGCTAAGCGCTTACAGATCTGGCACTGAAGGTGGGAGGTGGAGGATGGAGGAGTTTGTCTTATTGGCATGCCTGTGACATAATAGGTGGGAGGGGGCTAAGGAAATGCTCTGCAGTTGCTTATTCTACCCTGGTGGGCAGCCCCTTGACTCATTATCCCCATTAAATCATCTTATTGTTTATTAGAACCACCCTGACTTCAGACCCACCCAGAATTTTTTTATAAAAATTTTTGAAATTTTTTCGCCCCCCCCCCCCCCCGTTCACCCTCTACAACCACCTAGGAGTCTAATGCATTTTCTTTCACATGATAAATAAGTCCCCTGAAGCACAAACTTGAATCCACTTTTCAACATTTTCCATCACAGAGGTGCTCATGCAACAAATCATTCACACTTTGATAGGGCTTATACCACCTCCCAGAAGCAATAATTCAGGTGACCTGGGCTTAATACCTACCTTGGGTACAGGGTAATTCCCTGGCCTGCATAGTCCAGGCACTTTGCTGCACCAAATCAAAGGAGCCTTTGAGAGGTGAAAAGGCCAGGCAAAAGACCTGTCACTGTGTCCCTAAATGACCTAATAAAAAGTTTTACCATTATGACTGTTTGTTTTAATAATACATTTTTAAAATGAGGTGTTGAAATGAGCTGTTTAAAATGAGGTGTTTCTCTCACTAGAAATGGTTAAAATGAACCTGCTTTATTCCAAAACAAATAATAGAGAACACTACCATCACTTCTTGGCCTTTTGGCTAAGATCAAGTGCAGAACACTACCAATTGAGGTTCTGACACAAAAAGATTTCTAAGAATGAAAGTCACTATTTTCAGATGAGGAAATGCCATGGATTACTCTGGAAATGAGGGGTATGTAGATGATGTTTACACTGACTGAGAGAAGTAGAAAATTAAGGCAATCACCTTAGTACCAGCAGCAGAAGCCCCTGTTACAGAAAAGTGCATGTGTGTGCATGCTAGGGGATTGTTTGGGAATAGGAGGCCAGCATTTTGAAGGCAGCTAATAATAATACCTGCTAAGAAATATTCCTTGAAATGATCAAATTCAATGAATACTCTCTCAGCTAGGAGAAACTTTGCATAATGCAGTGTTTATAAATATGATCGTAATACAAATTAGTTTGCAAAATGAAATAAAAAACACCAAAGTATTTGGCTAGCTGATAAATAGGGGGGCAAACAAAGGCAGTCCTTCCTACTAACAGAATAGGTGCAATAAATTCCACAGAGAAAGTGAAGTGGGTGAATTCAAGAAATACCTTGTTAATTTGAGCCCCATCAAAGCACACTATTCTTCACCCTTCGTGAAATTATCTCCACGGTTTGAATTACTCCATTAAATAAGCACTTTTGATGAGAATGCAGAGAGAATATATAAATCCAAATCCCTAAATTTTTCATTGTACCCTTAAGTAATTTCATGCACCAGCCTGGCTCTTTAAGATAGTCTCTATAAGAAGTAAGTGAAAGAAAGAAGAAAAGAAAAAGAAAAAAAGGCAGAAAAAGGGCTCTCTACTATTCACATCTTGTTCTCACCAAACTAATGATGAAATCTCTCCATGATTCCTGCTTATCATTTAGCAAAGAGGGAAAAGTATCTCCAAATTCACACCACAGTTAATCTTCACACAGCACTATTTTGTAAGAAATGAACACTAGCATGTGATTTCCGAAATTATGTAAATTCCAAAGACCTCTCTCTCATACTTTCAGCAGGCGGCAACCATCAGTGTTCTTTGCCTTTTCTCTCTTCCTTCTGGTCAGAAGTCAGGAGAAAATAGCAATACTGGAGTGGTACTGGCATATTTGATTCCCTAGAATGCAAGAATCTCAAAATATCAGAGACAGAAACAACCTTGGAGATGGTGAAATCAATTGCTCTCATTTTGCAAAGGCAGAAATGAAGACCTAAAGAAAGTGGTCTTATCCAAGGTCTCACAAGAACACAATAGCAGAGCTGAGATGAAACAGATTCTCTCTGGCTTCTGAAAGGTTAAAAATCAGTGACTGAACTGAAAAATATTCAGTTCCTTACTATGAGCCATATTTGCTTTTCTGACATTGTAGACTTAGGTTCTCTGCACGATCTATTAACCCAAGAACAAGAGCTTTCAAAGTTAATCAAGTTTTTATAAAATGGAGTACTACTCAGCCATAAAGAAGGAGAAACTAGACACATTTATAGCTAAGTGGATGCACATTGTGGACATACTCTTAAGTGAAATAAATAGGACACACATGTGTATGTACCAAATAGTTCTCTCGTGTGAAAAACTAAAAGTGTAAATAAGGATCAAAATGTATAATTGATATTGTTTAATAGGAAGGAAAGGTCTAAAGGAGTAGGGGAAGTAAGAAGGGTAGGGGAAAGGAAAGAAGGGAAAAGAAAATATGAGAAAAGGAAAAAAATGGAAACAAAGTCTTTGTAAATAGGGAAGGGTGGAGGCGGTGAAGGGAGGGCAGGGAAATTGGGAAAAAATAAGAACCAAGATACATCATGTAAAGGTACAAGATCCCAATGATGAATGTAACTGTACTGTATGTCTAAAATGTGCCAATAAACTTTTAAAAAGTTAACAACCAATTCATGATAAATAATTTAAATACATCTGCTTTTAGAAGTATCTACTTCTTTTTATAACTTCATAACCTACTCATAAACTATAACCATGTCTAATTAATCATTTTTAACTAAAGTTGAAGGGCACTTATTCTATCCAAAATGACAAAGTTCTTTTATGTTTGTAGTGCACACTGGTCAATATTATCATCCATGGCTTTCAAAACCAACTACTTGGTTACAGATTAATTGAAACACAATCCTAATGTAGCTTTTAACTCATAGGAAATATTGGACATTGAACCAATAATTACCCATTTCCTGAAATTGGGTTTCCTAGTTCAGCCCAATGAGTTACTGGTGTCAGTATCTTGTTTAAATCTAAGAGTGGTGGAGAGCTCCTCTCTAACTCTAAAGTGATGGAGAGAGGAGTTAGAAAATGGTGGCCAGAGAGTGGCTACAAGTCTGGCTCCAAGATTCTCAGCCAGGAGTTAAAAAGAATAGTGGCTCTTAAAACCCTGGTCACATCAGAAATATTACAAAGAATCAATACCTGGAATCTCATCTTACTAAAAAGCTTTTGAACAGCAAAAGAAACCACCAACTGAGTGAAGAGACAATCCACAGTGTGGGAAATTTTTTTTTGCCAGTGTTCCTTAGACAAAGGACTACTATCTAGAATATATAAAGAACTGAAAAAAAAAAAAATCAGACCCAATCCAAATTTAAAGACCCAATCCAAAACTGGGCATCTAAAATGAATAGACACTTCTCAAATGAAGAAGTAGAAACAGCAAATAAATTCATGAAAGAATGTTCAACATCACTGGTCATTCCAGAGATGCAAATTAAAACAATGGTCAGATTCCATCTCACTACAGAAAGAATGGTTATCATCAAGAAATCAACCAATAACAAATGCTGGCCGGGCTGTGGGGAAAAAGAATCCTTCTCCACTGTTGGTGGGAGCGCAGACTGCTGCAACCACTGTGGAAATCAGTATGGAGATTCCTTAAAAAACTAAAACTAGAGGCTTCATTTGACCCAGCTCTTCTTCTGCTGGGTATCTTCCCAAAGACGCATCATACCACAGCAATATATCCACACCCATGTTTATAGGGCACAGTTTGTAATAGCTAAATCTTGGAAACAGCCCAAACACCCATCAACAAATGACTGAATAAAGAAGATGTGCTTTTTTTATACAGTGGAGAATTATTCTGCCATAAAGAATGACGAGCTTGAGATATTTCTAGCTAAATGGATGTACCTTGAGACCATACTCTTAAGTGAAATAAATTGGACACATATGTCTAAATATTGCATGGCTTCTCTGGTGTGAAAAATCAAAAGGGTAAATAAGGACCAAAATGTATAATAAATACTGTGAAATAGGAAGAAAATGCTCAAATGGGAAGGGGAACAAGAGAGAAGGGAGAAGGAAAGAAGGAAAAACTGAAAACAAAGCTTTTGTGAATCAGAAGGGGAAGAAGGGTTGAAGCAAGGGGAGGAGGTTGAGAAAAAAAGAAGAATGAAGATATATCGTGTACAGGGTGGGGATTTAGCTCAGTGGTGCTGCCACCTGCCTTGCTAGCGCAAGGTCCTGAGTTCGATCCCTGGCACCAAAAACAAACAACCACAATTTAAAAAAAAGATATATCAGGTACAGGTACAAATTCCCTATGATGCACACTATCATTACGTATATCTAAAATGTACCAATAAAATTAATTCAAAAATAAAAAGGATAGTGGTTCTCAAATTTTGGATTGTTTTCTCAATTTTTATTTTTTATTAGTACATGTTTGTAGTACAAAATGATTACATTCCTTGTGGGGAGTTGGGACATGCACATAACACCTCTTCATTCTGTTTTCATACCTTTATTCTCCCTCCCCTCCTGGTTCCCTCCTTTCCTCCATGTCTTGGTCCCTTTTCCATTTGCAAAAGCTCTATCTCCTTATTTCCTATTAACAATCTTTAATTTTGTTCTTTATTCATAATATAGGTATTTTGCATGAGAGAAACCATGCAATATTTAAGCTCTGTGTTTGATTCATTTCACTTAAAAACTATTATTATTAAAATGATTAGAAAAAGTCTTTGAGATTCACATTTATCCTTTTTTATGTCACAGTATTACTCCATTGTGTATAAATATCCCATTTTCTTTATGTATTCTTCTGCAGATGGACATATAGGCCTCTTCCAAAATTGATGTACTGTGAATTGTGCTGCTATAAACATGGGTATAGATGCAGCACTATAATCCAACATCTTTAACTCTTTTGGGAAGATACCTAGAAGGGGAATAGCCTGGTCAAATGTAATTTCTATTTTTGATTTTTTGAGAAGTCTCCATACTGATTTTTATATTGGCTGTACATCCCCTCAAACAATATAAATGGATTCCTTTTTCTCCACAGC